CATATGATGAAAGGTTGGAAAGAAAGAAAGAAAGAAAGAAAAGATAGGGTAGAGATGGATGGATAGATATATGTGTGGAATGAAAATTTGGATTCTTGGAGTTGGCCAAAGGCCAATTTTCCTTCATCTCGCCAAGCAATGAGCCAATCCAACCTGCCCCTCTACTTAGATTGACCATTCATGGTGCAAATTAAAGAGGATTGAATTTTAAGTCCTTGTTTATAAATTGCAATGTTTTTTTTTTTTCGAGTATAGAATGCATCTCACCTTACATTGATGATAAACTAATTAATCATATGTTTTAGACAATTCAAGTACTACATGAGGCAGCAACATTTTTTTGGCCTCTTAATCAAACGGTACGTCAAATCTGCAGAATCGATGGCCCCAAAAAAGTATATTTGTGGAAGTTCAAACTCGAATTGGATGTTCCAAACGTGTGTAGCTTCATGCATTTATTGCTAGAAAAATGACCCTACATCTAATGAGTTTATTCATTATCTTGGTTCTCATAAAAAGTAATAATCACATAATTACATGAGAATCGTAAGAGGATAAGAAAAAGTGTATATTACAACCGGTACAGGTAAGTTTTTCTCAACGCCCGAGCAAAGTTGGCTTCTATATTTTTGGGATAATTGTGTAATATATTTGTGTACTAAACATTGCTGTAGGTAAGTTAAGCCTAATATGTCAACAGACTAAACATCCAAAAAAATGAGTAAGCTCACATGTCCTTTTTAGTTCCTTACGTATTATCAGTTGTCGAATTGAATAAATTAAATAAAAATGACGGACATAATAAAATAAAGATGTGTTGAGGACTAGTAATGGAGTCTGAGAATTGAGATGCTAGTAAGGCCTACAGAAAGGTTGCGTGTTATAGAAGCGATGGCATGGCACCTAGGCCTGGCAAACGGGTCGTGTCTATCGTGTTCGTGTAACACCTGTTATCTTAACGGGTCGTGTCGTGTCACACCCGTTATCTTAACGGGTCTTTAACAGGTCGTGTCACTTTACCCATCGGGTAAAGTGACCCGACCCGTTATGACCCATTATGACCCGTTAAGAAAAAAAAAATTTTTTTTTAAATTTGCACATACCACACATTGCCACATAAATATTACTTCAAAACATTAAAACATTTCTCGTTAGTAACTAAAAATAGATTGATTATAAACAGAAAAATGTTGAAAATGAGGGACCTTGCATGAGTTTATAAGAGGTTAGGCTACTCCCCATATTGCCAATTAGTTTTATAGTGGAACCTCAACTTTCTTCATGGTATCAGAGCAGGTTGCCCCATAGCCAAACGGCCACACGCACTCCACGTCACCCCGTTGTACTGTTCACGTGTTAGACTTTAAAATACAAAAATACCCCACACATGAGGGGGCGTGTTAAGAATAAATAAGTTAGATTACTCCTCATACTATTTTATGATGAAATCTCAACTTCTTCACGTTCAACTTCTCCATGAGATAGTTTTTCTTATATCTTCACTCTGATTTTCTTATATCTTGCTATTATTTATGTGGTGGTGCCGATGAACCTCTTTCCTTTTATTATTTTTTCTTTCACCTTTTCAAATGCACCATCCTTATTTTTAGGAAGTTTTAACGAAAAGGCCAAGGTACTATTCATTTTAACAAAAAATCACATTTTTACACTAAAAAGTCAATCCTAATACTATTCATTTTACCCTTTATTTTGTCTTTATCATTAAAACTCAAAGTTTTCAAGCCCTTTTAATTAGTTTTTATTTTATTTTTATTTTTATTTTTTATCATTCTATTCCTTCTTTTTAGATGGTGCCCATGCACCATTCCATAAACTTTATCTTTTTCCCTGCAAAACCCACAAACTGCAGAAGTAATAGGAGAGATTTTTGTGCGATCGTTACACGAGACAGTCATATCGGAATAATTTTCAACCAACCTTCTCTAGGAGCCGTCCACATTGGAATTGACTAAGCAAAACGTGACATACGCATTTACAGGGAGTATTTTTGCTCACCACCATTTATTGTGGTGTATGCTCATCACCTTATTTATCACAGTTAAATGAGTTTGAATTTCAATATTCGTGTAGTGGATAGGCACAAATCTCAAAATTCAAACTTATCTAACGGTAATAAATAGGATGGTGAGCATACACCACACTAAATAGTGGTGAGCAAAAATGCTATGGGCGATTACATCTAGAAACGCTTAGTCAAAGACATGCATGGAGATTAGTCGAGCCTAAAATTTGGCACATAAACTTTGACTTGAAGAATTCCAAGGAAGCAATGTTTCATTAAGAAATATAGCTAATCAATTAAGCTAGGCTGAAAAATTGGTGCTTTTGCAATGGCAATGGCTTTTTCTGTGCGGATGCTTTTGTTCTCCTCATTGTTTTTGCTACCAATTTCTGTGTTTTCGCAAAATAATGGAAGAGTAGCAGTTGGAAATTATTTAACTGCAACTACAAGTAACTCCTCATCATGGCTTTCTCCATCCGGTGATTTCGCGTTTGGATTTTTGCCCCTTGGAGGCAATGATCTTTTCTTGCTTTCAATATGGTACGCCAAAATCCAAAACAAAACCGTAGTTTGGCATGCATATGAGGATAACAACACCATATTTGCACCTAAGGGATCCACTTTGAACTTGAATGCCAGCAGTGGACTAGTTCTTAACGATCCTCACGGTGTGGAGATATGGAAATCCGAAACAACCTTCGGGGTTGTTGTAAACGGGGTCATGAATGACAACGGAAACTTTGTTCTTCAAGACAAAAACTCGGGGAGCTTATGGGAGGCCTTCAACAATCCTACAGACACCATTTTGCCTGGACAGACAATTGAGAGAAATGGGAAGCTTTCGTCTAGACAATCGGAGAGTAACTACACGAAGGGGCGGTTCCAGCTGCGCTTGCAAGATGATGGAAGCCTCGTGCTCAACACCATAAACTTGCCAACAGATTTTGCCAACGAGCCGTACTTTGCCACGGACACAACAGCGGGGACTCTGGAAGGTAGTGAAGGTAAACAATTGGTGTTCAGCAACTCAGGGGACATGTTTGTTTTGGGAGAAAATGGTGGAAGATTCATTCTCACAACGGCAGGAGTCTCCCGGGTGAGGGACAGCTACATAAGGGCAACTCTTGATTTTGATGGGATTTTCACGCTATACTCTTACCCGAAAAATTTCACTGGAATTGCAAGCTGGAGTCCCCTGTGGTATAAGCCGGATGATATTTGCCAAGCACTTAAGGAAGACATGGGCGTTGGTGTTTGCGGATACAACAGTGTCTGTAAGATGAATCAAGATAACAGGCCAACCTGCCAATGCCCGAGAGGGTTTTCTTTTCTTGATCTCAATGACTCATACCGAGGCTGTAAACCCGATTTTATACAAGGCTGTGAAGGAGATGAGGTACAAAGTCCCAGAAAAGATTTGTATGATATCGTATTGCAGACAAATACTGATTGGCCAATCTCAGATTATGTGCGGCTAAAACCTTTTACCGTGGAGAAGTGCAAAGAGTCTTGTTTTCAAGATTGTTTGTGCGTTGTTGCTGTTTTCAGGGATGAAAGCTGCTGGAAAAAGAAGTTACCTCTCTCAAACGGGAGAGTGCAGTTAGATCTTAATTCACAGACCTTCATCAAAGTCCGAAAGGCTCCAGTGCCAATTCCTCCTCCAACGTCAATTCCAGATGATAAAGAGAAGAGCAAGACCACTGTTATACGTGTACTATTAGGTACCTCCATCTTTGTTAATGTTGCTGCTCTCTGTCTCGGTTTTTTCTTCATATTCCGGAACAAACCGGTAAGATCTAGTACCGATCTTGTTTTGGACTCGAATTTGCTCTCTTTTAGCTATGAAGAACTACGAGAAGCTACAAATGGATTCGAGGAAGAATTAGGAAAGGGTGCTTTTGGAGTGGTTTTCAAAGGGGTGATGCAAATTGGTTCTTGTGTCGAAGTGGCGGTGAAGAAGCTACGCTATGTTATGCAAGATGTCGAGAAGGAGTTTAAAACAGAACTGAATGTAATTGGTAAGACGCATCATAAGAATCTGGTTCGTCTTTTCGGATATTGTGACGAGGGGCAACAGAAATTGCTAGTTTATGAGTTCTTGAGCAATGGCACACTGGCAAGCTTTCTTTTTTCTGAGATCAAACCAAGTTGGAAACAGCGAATTGAAATCGCTTATGGCATTGCGAAAGGGCTTTTGTACTTGCATGAAAAGTGCAGCACGCAGATTATCCATTGTGACATAAAGCCGCAGAACATACTTCTCGATGATTATTACACTCCTCGGATTTCTGATTTTGGATTGGCAAAACTTTTGATGATGAATCAGAGCCAGACTCATACCGCTATCCGAGGAACAAAAGGTTATGTTGCACCTGAGTGGTTCAGGAACTTGCCAATCACTACCAAAGTTGATGTGTACAGCTTTGGTGTTGTGCTGCTGGAGATTATTTGTTGTAGGCGAAATGTTGACGTGGAAGGTAACTGCGAAGAGAGAGCAATTTTAACGGATTGGGTTTATGATTGCTACGTTGGAGGAGTATTAGATGCTGTTGTAGATCATGAAGTTGAGGCCTTGGGTGATCGAGCGACACTGGAAAAGTTTGTGATGGTTGGGATTTGGTGCATTCAGGAAGACCCTTCTCTTAGGCCTACTATGAGGAGGGTTGTGCAGATGTTTGAAGCAGTTGTCGAAGTGCATGTTCCGCCATGTCCATCTCCATATACCAGAGCAGGCTGAAGCCGCCATTAGTTGTATCGCAGCCAAGGTATAATTTATTGTCACAGTAGTAGCTAGCTTGTTTCCTCTTTGTCAAACTATCTTTAGTCTACCGACTTGTTGTTTTGTAGTGTGATGATTTAGATCACACCCGTTGAAAGAATGCTTTATGTATGCAACTCTTGTTTATGATCTTTTATGAATGATAAAGTGATTCTTATATCTACACTTTGATTTGGTTTTGCTGCTACCAGTTGTGCGTCTCTGGCTCAACAATGCATCAACACAGCAAATACAATCTTTTCATTTGCAATCTCTGCATATCCTCGATAATTAAAAAGAAGCAGAAGCACAACATACCACTGAGCATTAAACCTAAACCCAACTAAGGAGATCAGGTAATCCACTGGACCATACCAACTTAGGGTCCTTGTGCCACTTCAACGTAATTCTGCAAATAGACAACTTTATGTCCTCGCATTTGGCAACAATTTCCATGTCTCATAATTTCCCCCTAAAATTGGCACCCAATAAAGTGATATAAGCAGAGGAGAATCAACCAATGGAAACTCTACCTATACACATATAACACATGTTTGACTGACCTCAGGTCCATAGAAAGGATGTCATGCTTGACTGACCTACAGTTTAGGCGTTCCTCCTTTCTATGCATTATATAAAACGAAGCAAAAATTTTAAGAAAAAAAGAAATCGATATACCAGAGCATATGACAAATAAATAACTATATAAAAAATATCAATTTTATGTAATTAGAAGAAAAGAAAACTCAGAAAGATAATTTAAATTTTAGAGAGCTGCCTTCGAAGCGTTAGACTACTATCACTGGAAGCTTGTAATGACTACCCAGTTCACAATTGTGAAGTCGGAAGAGGAACTTACAGAAATCATTTATACTCCCTCAGGATTTACATATCTCAAGTAGTCGTCCCAGTTGTTGCTAGTCTCATCATAGCCTAAAAGAAATTCACAAAACCATTCATATCACAAACATGAATTTTGATATAAAATATACATGAATTTAAAGAAGAATCTGACAATCCGTAAATAGACCAATCTAAAGCAAAGACTTCACCCATAAGTTTTACCTCCATAGTAATAGGTAGCAGACAGATAATAGTTATGGAGATAGCACATAGATGAATCCATGAAATCAGGTAACAAAGGGGTAGCAGACGCTCTGATGTGATTTATCCATTTGCAGCATTACCAGAATGAATAGACCCATATTGGTTAACAGAAGGCTGCATGGAAAAAGAACTCAAGCTTGGAACCACCACATATAACATAAATGAATGAATGTTTCAAATGTAGTTTGTTAATAGTTTTTCACGATCAATTGTTGTGATACCTAAATACCTTATCTCACCCTGTTCAATTTATATCACGTCTCATACCATAACTACAAACAAATACACAGTTACTCAGTTTCTCAAACAATCAACTTTCACAACATACAAAATAAAACTATCACAATACTACAAAAACAAAAAACAAAAAAAATTGTTCCACAAAAGCCTCAAAGGAAAAAACCAAAATTATTTACCTTGAGCACAAAGGGCTTCGAAAGCTTCACACAAAAGCGCCAAAAAACGAAGAGTAACGTCTCCTGAAACGAAAAACAGAAGCAAATGATACGCCCAGACAACGAATCTAACAATATAAACAAAACCCAAAATTACAAAAACAAAATCCATACACAAATCCCATCTAAATATCGAAAAATGTCAGCGAGATTCTCTCACCCATGCAAATATCTAGATCATTGTCAGATTCCAATCAACTTTTGTTAAGTGAATTAACGTTAATAAATTGTGATAGGAAGTAATGATTATGTCCAACCTTCGGGTCAAGATTTGTAGGCTATATCTACAGAATCTACCAAAACAATTTAAAGGCCATACTAAGAAAGTAAAAAAAACTCATCAGCAAACGCCAGGGGTTTCATACCTTTTATATACCTTGAGCACAAAGTGGTTCCAAGGTTGCACATGAAAGCCCCAAAATTGAACACCACCGTTTCCTGAAATTGAAAACTAAATCGTATCCAAGCGCACACACAAAACCCCAAAATTACAAACGCAAAATTTAAACACAAAACCCCCAAAATTATAAAATCAAAATTTAATCTGCTACCCCTTCTCTCCCGTTTTTCTCTCACCCTAATGTCCATTTCTTCAAATGACCTAACTCCCTGTCTCTGTGTATACTCCTTATCTCTCTCATTTAATCAAAACTCTCAAACCGAATTCAAAGCCTCATCAGAACCCATAGCATAATCTAATGAAAAATATTACCCAAAAAACAAAAAAGATTCAATTTTTAATATTTTAAAATTGAAGAAAACACAACCCATAGATTTGAAAAAAAAAATTAAAAAAAAAAAATAGAGAACTTCGAGATGTAGGATTCAAATAACTTACCAGAAAACGTTAACCTTTTTGGCTTAAAATCATCTTCAATCCAAATCAAAAAGCTGAAGAAGCTTAAACTACTTCAGATTTTTCCAGTGAGCCAAGATTTGACAGGGATAGAAACGCAAGTTTGAGAGCAATGGAGACTATGGCGACAAATAGAAAGGAAGAAAAGCTTGAGAGCGATGGAGACCATGGCGACAAAGACAAAGGGAGAAAAGCTTGCAAAACACTGAGAAGAGGGCGAGAGAGAAGAGAAATGGAAAGCAAAGAAAAAAAAAAAGCAGAGAACTGAAACAGAAACGGCAGCGATGATGGACGCCTGCCAAGCAAGGAACAGAAAAAGAAGATCGAACCTAGAGGCACACTGACGAGAGACGCGTGGTCTGGGAGGACAAAACCACCATTTTACTGTGAAAAAAAAAAACCGTTGAAGACCAATTGGGAGGCATTTTCGTCAGCGCAATGTCTGTGAACAGTGCACTCGAGTTTGGATTTTAGTATAGAAATAATGTCTCGCCTAGCCAATATGTAGCCTCCTTTATCAGCGATGGTATGATGTGGTCTCACTTTTGGCAATGGTATTGCGTGTTCTTAATTCAAGTATGTTACCTCTGCCGGTTTTGTGACATTGGTGTTTGTGCTGGTGCCAATGGTGCTTGTGGTAATCATTTAGGAGATTACTCTTTATGCTTGTTTGTTCAAATTATCTTCATATTAATGAAATGGACTGTAAAAAAGATGAATATAAGCTCTTATTGAAACACTCTTCTATAAATACAATCCATTTGCTAACATCTGCATTATACAGATTGTTAGTTAGAGTTAATTAACCCGGAATTATCTCCCTAATTTATTATAGGAATGAAAATTTTCAACTTTAATTGTGTAACATTCCTACCTAAATAAGGATTGATGTAATTTGAGGTTCCAACAGAGTTTGAGAGAGAGTCCAACGGCTCACCACTTTTTTTTTTTTTTTTTTAACAAATAATATTATCTAGGGGTGTGCTATCCACACATCTCATTTTACTTCTCACACACCCCTTGATAATTTATGTCAGTTGATCTTTTTCAATTCATCCAATCCGACGATCGAAAATTAAAAAGGTATGTGAGAAGTAAAATGGGGTGTGTGGATATCACACCCCTATTATCTACACTAAAGAGGTAGGGGAGTGAGCTAAGTCTTGCTAACAATAATGTGGTTTAAATTCGCTTTTGGCGAGTGTCGAACCTAAGACTTGTCATTTCCAAGTGAAGAAGAATACCACCAGATCGTAATACTAGGTGGCACTGCTCACTACTAATTAACATCAAATTAACATCAATACGCAACCACGTGTGCAATCCAATAAGTGTGATTTTTATATAATAATAAGGTGACACGCCCCAACCCCAATATTCCTCGAATACGAGGATAGGCACGTGCTGGCCGACACTCGAGGGTGACGAAAGCCATTTATTGAGTGCAAATGCTGAAAATAAGGGATAAATAAGACTTATAATATGAATATGCAATTAAGGAACGTGTTCAGAGCGTACATCTAATCTAGAACACTAAAAGAAATAATATAAAATTTAATGAATAAAAGAATGGGTTCTACGCTGAGATGACTGGAAGATGCCGATGTAGAAGTGCCTTGACGCGGAGATTGTAGCCTCAATTCTAAGTCCTGAAAGGGGCACAAAACAAACATGAGTGGATCAAATTGATATATATATATATATAATAAAACAGTTATCAACGTACTAACCCTTAGGTTTTATGAAAACACATATATCATGATAAACATAGGTTTTCCGAAACCTAGCATGTCGTGCAATGTCTCAAATTATAACTTGTATATATAATAACCACTAGTGAATGTCCGATAACCCCCAGGCCCCATGCCGGCTCCTCGTCTCTGAGCAGACGGTCAGAGGAAAATACACTCCAGGCCCCATGTCGGCTCCCCGTCCCTGTGCTAAATAGCTAGAGGAAACACACTTCAGGCCCTATGCCAACACCAAACCGTCGTCCGAGATGGACCAGAATCTATCCCTACGTCCAGTAGCGGAAAGGACCACTAGGTACATACAAAACCAGTGAACATACATATATTGAAAAGCAACTTCATAGTATAAAGTCATTCATCATCTATACCATAAAGAGGTGTTCTAAACATGTTCTAAATATCATATCGTCATCCATCGGATATTCTTTAAGAACCCGGGTTATAGGAAAAACAGTAATAATTCAAATTAGCCTCATTAAACATGTTATCTCGTAAAATGTTTCATAAAACATAGTCATCAAATCATGTTTTTCATGTATGCATTTCTACTATCAAAACATGCATTTTTAGAAGGGATCCACTCATAGTACTTAGTTGCAGAAGAACCACATAACTAGCGAAGACGGAAACGCCATAATTAATTGCCCCTAAGCACATAAAGGGTACATTTAGTCAAACTCTACTCAAACGATTGAATTTGGGAAAACAAACATCGGAAACGGGTTCAGGACGTCGAAATTAGCTTAAGAGGGGTCCCGCACGAAAACCCAAAAAGTTCACGGTCAAAATCAACATTGACCAGTCAAAGTCAACGAGTCAAACAAGGACAACTGGGTTTGGGCTTGGATCCGGATTAGGTTAAAGGGTTTGGACTTGTGTTTGAGCCTAAAGGGTTTGGGTCTAATGGGTTTTAGGGTTCTAATGGGTTTGGGTTTTAAAAAGGATTGGGCTTAGGTCACAAAGGGTTTAAGGTTTAAAGGTTTGGGCTTAGAAGGGTTTAGGGTTAGGCTCGGCAGGAAAGGCCCAAAAGGCCTATGTTTGATGGGTCGCCGAACCCAATTAAGAAGAAGGCCGGAATTCGGCCAAAAAGTTCTTTAACTTTAAACGTTAATAACTTTGTCAAAAATCAATGAAATCGAGTGATTTAAAAACGAAAGTTATAGTTCTCGAAGAGACGAAGAGAATGGTACCTCACACGACGTCTCACTCAGCGTGGTTTGGCTAGAAAACGCCTCGAAAGCCTCGGAGGTAGTTGGAAACTGGGTAAGATTCAAATGGATATAACTTCTTTAATATTCCATGAAATTGGGTGAAACAAAAAGGAAAGTTGCAGTACTCGGCGAGATGAAGAGATTGATATTTGCACGCCGGCCACCTCGCCATTTTTTGGCCGGAAATTGCCTCAAAAGGGGCGGTGTTGGCCGGAAAATTGGGGAAAGCTCCCTGAGTTGTTTTCACATCCAAACCTTCACCAAAGACCATACTTTAACAACCATTAAACCTTCTAGACTACGAGGAAGGAAGATGGGAGGGTGTTTTTGACTTACCTCGTCGGAAATCACGTGCACCATAACTGTGCACAGTGATAAGAAGAGAGATCGCAGGGTGGTGAGGGAGAGGACGATGAAGGTCAGATGATGAAGATGATGGTGAAGTTCTCCTGTTGGCTGTGTATATGTATGTATGGGTGTGCATGTGTGTTCTTGTCGGAGAGAAAAGCACTGAGAGGGAAAGAGATAGAAATGAGACATAGTGAGAGCTCGAGGAGAATGAGAGAAGAGAGAGAGGCGAAAGGCTCGGGAGACAAAATTAGGGGGTGGGTCCTTGGGCACACCATTTAAGACACAAAAACCATTTTAAAAAGAAAAGTATCCCCAAACTTAGTGAAAATATAAAAATACCCTTTTTGTTTTGTAAATTTCGGAACGAGTTGTTACATAAGGTCTCAAAGCAATTAGTAGTTGAATGCGGACACCCGGAAGAAGAACGAACCCCTTCTTTGATGGTTTAGACGTAAGGCGATTTAAAAAGTTTCCGAAGGACAGTCTTCAACACCCTTCTTTGTGTGTTTTGGACAAAGGGCTGGTTTCTCCATAATCTTGACACCTTGGAGTCGAAGTACGAATCGTGCTGTCAGCTGCTTTGAAGAGGAAAAGTTTTTTTCCTGTTGGCCCAGTGCCTTCCTTTTGCCAAAAAAATCCAAACCAAGTTATAGTGCGAGAAAGAAGATCTGAAGAACTTTCCGATTTTTCCATTAAGTATGCGACCCCAATCCTTGAAGAAGACATCTAAGACTTGCCAAACGTATTTTTGTGAAATCTTCTAGACCAAGAAAATCCCTAAAACGTGCCTACAACCTAACTGATGCCCTATCCCTTTATGTCCAAGGTTTTGTTTTGCTTTGGGATAGTGTCTAGACCCTAAACCCTATATATATGAGACCGGCAGCCGGTGGAAGGACCATACGAGGGAGAAGTCGGAAACCGGGGAGAAATATTGGGGAGTTTCGGAGGAGTCATATTCATTAAAGGTTTTAATTTCTTCTCTTATGTTTTTGCTTACGAAAATTGTCACGGCTCAGTATCTTCTTTTTACTAGGGCATGGTGCAACCCTAGTATGACAATCTATTGATTATATATCTCTACAATGTTGTATTCTTAATAATCGTGAAGCAATTCTAGGTTAATTAAGGGTTAAATTCTAGGTTAGAAGATGTGTACTTCAAGGTTAAAATTCATCAATCTGCCAAAATGACCTCGTGCTCGACTTGCTAAATTAGGCGTGATCTTGTGCACTTGCCATTATAGTTTGTTGTCAGATTGATCTATATCTCTATTCTTCCAATACATCTAAAACACACAAGTTTTTGGCATCGTTGCAGGATTGTGTGCTTTAGTTTGAATTAAATTTTATGTTAATTTCACTGACAGTTTTTATGTTTGCCGGTATATCATAGCAAATGCTCCTACCCGTACCTTAAGCCAGAGGAGGGGCTAGAAGAAGAACAAGAGGAGATCGATGGCGTCACAACCTGCCGCTGCTCCCCCTCGTACCTTAAAGGACTACTTGATGCCAACATTCGACTGTCGATCATGCATTGTTATACCGGAGGTACAAGGTTCATTTCAATTGGACCTTGAATGGATTCAGATGCTGCCTACCTTTTACAGGATGTCTGACGAAAATCCATACCTGCACATTACGAGTTCATGACTTATGTATGATTATCGGAATCAACCAAGTCAACCAAGAGGTTGTGAGATTGAAACTGTTCCCTACTTCGCTGAAAGATAGAGCCAAGTCATGGCTCTACTCTTTGCCGCCCGAATCCATCCACTCTTGGGAGCAACTAGCACAGAAATTCCTCGAGAAATACTTTCCCTGGCATAAAATTGTCCAACTGAGGAGAGAATTCATGAACTTTGCTCAGGGAGAGCAAGAACCGTTTCAAAAAGCTTGGGACAGATTTGAGAAAATATTATACAAGTGTCCGGATCATGGCGTTACTGACTCGATGCCGGTGTATTGTTTCTACGAGGGACTCACACTTCCAGAGAAAAGAATGGTTGATTCAGCTTGTGGAGGTACATTAATGAATAAAACGCGGCAGGAGGCGTTTGACCTTTTTGACTCACTTGCAATGACCAGCGGTGGGGGAACGAAGGAACTTCAAAGACAGGTGTGGATGATGTAGATTATAGTACTGGATTAGTTGATAAAATGTCAAGTTTTGGAAAATAAACTCGAGACACTCATGCGTGATCATGGCATCCCTCCATCAAGCCAGCAAGTCTGTGCCAAATGTTCTGACCCTACTCATCCGAGGGAGCTGTGTCCTTAGAGTGGTGCATCGTTCCCAGAGTTCAACCAGGAGCAAAATGATCCTTATTCAAATAATGCTTACAATCTTGGCTCGAAAAATCCTCTAACTTTTACCTTGAACCAACAAAAAGCTAGTCATTCACCACTCGAAGATCTGTGTGCTCAAGTAGAGCAGACCACTCAACAAATACAAAATACAGTGCAAGCTTCCATCATCAAATATCCCAGCCAACCTGAAATAAATTTCGAGTCCAAAACAATTTCGGATTCAAATTTGCATTCTTTTAGCTATGAAGAGATTTGAGAAGCTATAAACGGATTCAAGGAAGAACTAG